CTTGGCAGACAACGATCATGATGATCTAAGATCATCATCGATATCTACGTACAACGTCAGTGTAAAAGTCTAAAGACGTTAAAAGGACGCGTTGAGGATTAACTTGTACCTTCGAAGTTCCAGGTACGGACAGGTTGTTCTCGTAGCAGGGAAAGACATTCTGTTCTCTGTAGGAATATTCGCTGTGAAAGATCGATGCTCCAGTTGGAGAATAACAACTGTTATTCAATAAAATAATGTGCTTAGTGCAAAGGCAGAAGACCCTTAATAATTGTCCACGATTGTTATAAAATGATTTAGTGACTGAAACATTGTCACTGTGGTTGTGATTACTGTTGTGAAACAGCATTTTGGATTACTTTCTCGAATTCTTCTATTAGGATCTACTAGATAAAGGTATGCAACAAACACCAAGTAGTTCTGTTTATATCGTATATAAGTGCGACTTGAAGGATTACATAACACGGGCACGTGCAGTTGCTTTAACGACGATTTGTCTTAATCACCATAATTTGACAACAAAGATGCGACATGTCATTGACAATGTTTATGATAGAAAGCCTAGTTTACAAGTCAAGTCGATTAATTTGCGATTATCATGTATTGTCCTACATTTTTCAAAATTTTTGCATTACAATATTTTAATTGTGCTTTAATCATTATTAAATAATATTTTTGCATTACATATATACATTGATGATTATAACTTTCTCTCTTTCTCTCCCTCATAATAGATTTAGAAATATTCTTTAAATATGACTGATTTAGAGCATGACTATTAGAATCATAATCATGTTTAGAAGTTGCAAATGCAATTATTTTCTGAATAGAAAGTTTCATGTAAATCCTTGTGCGACGGCTAGCTGATAGTCAAACGCGCGATACAGCTTATCTCAAATATATAGCTGTTATCTCAAATATATTTCTACAAATCACAATGATATACAATTTTATATATTATCATATATCTGATTAATAAAATTGCAAATATATATTAAGACTTCTGTATTATTATTACTCTGCAGCAGTTGCCTTTACACACAAACTTTCACAGATTCTTCACACAATAAAATGTTGAAACTATTAATTATCTTACCGTTAATAAGATTTACGCGTGGATCACGTTAAATTTCTATTAAACTTCCGTGTACAGTTAAAAAGATGAACCAAGAGACTTTTAAGAGACGTGAGATATGATAAGACACATCTAGGACGCGTCCGTCCAATTGATCGACCGGTTTGCACACTCGTCCGACGAAATAAGAGTCGACGAACACGGCCGACAGTTCGGCATCGATCAGGATTGATGATCGCAATTACAATTTATCGTTCACGGCAGGTGACGCGCGATGATTCGCGCACTTCTTTGGCTCCAAATGAGACGTCAAATTCCGTTCCGGAGTTAACGTCGTACAAACCGGTATCGTGAACGTCACCTTTTGTCGAGGGGTGCGAATGAGATCGTCGCAACATATACACGTAAATATATATAGTATATATATATATATATATATATATATGTGTGTGTGTGTATATTTGTTACCCCCGGAATAGGACAATCGTGCTGGCGCATTCGAGTTCGAGGATTCTCTTCCGGCAACGCGTCGGATACGCTGTCTACGAGCGAATAGGAAACGGACAAGCAAAGCGCGCGTTCCCGGTTTACTTACTCGGCACGGGAAGATCGTCGGCTCCGAAAATTCTGTCGAGTAATGCAAGAATTATTATCCAACGCGGCGGACCGTCGGGACGAAGGGAAAGAAAAGGGAGGGAGGGTGGAAGAAAATGATCGTTAAGCGTGCGCGCGAAATATGAGAAATGATCTGTCGACGTTCCCGTGGCCGTGGAAAAAGCGAACGCGGGCTTCAAAGAAGCCGTGGAATTGAAAAAGCCGGAGGGCCGCGCCATTAGATGCAGCGTGATAGGGCGAATTCCCTGCGACGGGCTTAGCTGAAGGAAAATTCATTCCACGGTAGAGAATCTCGAGCTTTGGGGAAAACTGAGAATTTACTCCTTGAAACTTATCCTTAATCGCGTTAGTAATTTGCATAATATAACCATGAACGAATTAATGATTCAACACAGTTTGGAAATATCATATTTTTATCTTTCAATTTGATAAACAGCACTGCAATATTTTTTTCTGAAAATAAAAATAATTGTATATGTATAGGATATGTTAAATATTATATACACCCGTATTTCTGAAGCTGACAAAAAATGGAATCTAATAACAAACATCTGATATTAGATAACTCATTATAACGAGAGATTTCCAATTTTTTTAATTTTAATTAAAATTGATGTATCTAAAATATTGTAATTTATAAAAAAATTTGATGTTGTTTTAAATTTGATGTACTTGAAAAGGGCTGCAATGACAGCCGAAACGTTGTTGTATTTCAAATAATTATTTATAATAAATCATTGCCAGTCTGGTCGACTTTAAACATTGAGGAGTGGTTTTTTATTAATTATTACTGGCAACCTTAAGGATTATTATTTATTGTAATTTATGTTCCTTTGAATATTCATATTTATTAAAAATTATTTCTTTTGATTAGAGAATAAAGAGAAATCGTATCGCGAGAGACGTTTGTCTTCAATGCGTCCATATGTACAATAAATCTCTATTGTTGGAATAAGAAAGCGTAACAGAAATCACATTTTATTAATACCTGTTTGTAACAAAGAGAGAAAAGAGAACGCGATAATAAAAGTCACAAAAAATTATGCTGCACCAGTTAAAAATTACACTTGTACCAATTACGCGTGGCACACACTTCGATGTGTATGTGTACGTGGCTGAAAGTAATTTTACCTCGTAATTCCCCCGGAGCTTTAAATAGGCTTTAACATCGAACGGGAAGGGGCTGTTCCGACTTCCCTCAAATTATAGGCAGCCATTATCGCGCGGTCGGCTTCGCATTTGGGCCAGACAATGGCCGCCACCACTCGTTAATGTAATAGGCATCCAAAAGGTGCGATCTCCCTCTTTACTTCGTACCGGCACCGGCAGAAGCTACGCAGGACGAAAATCCTCTTCCAACCTGTCCGTCGTTTTGTCGGGCGGACCTGCTCGGATCCCAGACAGTTCCCGAAAGAGGAATTATTATTTTATGAGATTATTATCTCTAATAACATCGCGCGTTTCGGCTGCGGGGAGGAAAAGGAGTACGCTTTTGTGTTCGATGGAAATGTTCACACGTAGAAGTAGCTCGCTCGAGCTATTCGATAATATCGACGTTTTGTTAAGCGACCAGGTAGAAATTTTAGGTAGAAGCTCCTTTACCTGTGTTCTCTGTCACGTGCAAAACATTACCATAAATGTTAAAGTAAAGGATGTAAAGTTCGAGTTAAATATATATTATTCTATTCAGAACTGTTTAAACTTAGATTTTTTTGAAAAAAATTATCAGCAATTAGCAGTATTACGTGAACCAGAATCTATATCTACTCAATTAATATTATACAAATTATTAATCTTATTTACAATACTTCAATTTTGTTAATGAATAGCGTGAATAATTTTTGGCATTGACAATTTTCAAATTAATAATTCTTAGTCCCTGTATGATAAATGGAAAGGAATTATTAATATAATAATTTTTACTATACATTAATCTTTTATGCAAAATTATTTAGCAACTACAAAAAATATTTTTATTCATACATATTTTAACATAGAACAATTTAAATGATCAAAAAAGAGACGAATAATTTCTCAAAGTTTTTACTATTTTGATTTATAAATGTTACTTAACTGTTCGAAATATATGAAAATATATAATATATATTGCCTCACCTTACATATACAAATCCGTTACGTATTTTAGAAACCGTGAAAAATTCGGACAGCTTCCCTGTCATCTTTTATACACAAGGGATGAGACCACGATGGGAACATATGAGGGTTGTTTAAACTAGCAGGTGGATCTTCAGTAACATCCCTTTATGCTTCAATTAATCCCTCTCCTTTTCCTCCAAAAATTTTACCTGCCTGTCACTAGCTGCCAGTTTGACATCGCGCCTCGTAACAGACTGTTTCTGTCGAGTCATAAGTTTATAATACAATGAAATATTGCGAATTTTATTTTTCTCACGATAACTCCCCTTGTATACATAAGAAAATTGCGATTAATTATTATACTACTAATCGCTTTGTTAATAGCGTGATGGATACAAGAAAAATAAAAATATTTTTGACAAATAATAATTTTTATAGTGCAATAAATATTATGGTGATTTGAAAGATAAATCGCTCTTTAAATACATGGCGAAACAATTTCCTCGAAATGAAGAGTCACGATTATATTCTCGCATCTACGTTACAATACTGCAAATGGCTAGATAAAAACAGATTAAGTAATTATTTCATGTGAGTGTGCTATAATTAATGTGTCCGTGAGTATATTACTTCCTAATAACTATAAATACCGCATATTACATAAACATAAACATGATTAAAATGTAGATGCATAATGATCATTCTTTGCTAACTCTTAACGATGTAAGCACGTAGAAATATGCGAGCGATTTTTATCATCAATCAGTATAGAAATGCACATAAATATCTATACGTTAGCTAACTTCTATACAATAATTTAAATACATTGACAAATTACAATGTTAATTCTATAATGGCTACCTTATCGCGAATGAAAATGCATGTAAGGAAATCTATAATAACACTTGTCAATGACGTGTCAGAATCAAGTTGCACAATAGAGCGAATGAGAAACATTCCTGGATAATGTATTATACAATCAAACGACTAATTAAATATTCTCGAGATTGAAATGATCTCTGCGTGAACCTTGCGAATGCACGCAAACTTGTTTACGCTTGCTTATGTTTCATCACCTTGTCGTTTCGAGGCAGGCATATTTTTCGTGATAAACCGTCGAAAATGCTTTTTCTTCTTGGATTTGTGGATCGATTTCTATCAATTTAGTCGAGGATTATTCGCCTCCTACGAACATCTGTGTATTTCTTTGCAGGTGAATACATTCTCAGCTCCAGCAGTCAGAACGGAAGTGGAAGTAGCATCATCGAAGAAGACGGTCCGCTTCTCAACGAAGCATCGTTGGCTTTGGATAATCATCCCTTGGCTGACTTAACTGATGATTCTCTGGGTCTAAACGACACTCTAGGACTCGAGCATGACTTTACATCAGACTTACTCGGAAGTAGTCTCTTGGAAAGCGCTGGCGTAGAGGGCCTGCTCAGCAACGATACTCTAGGCTTGCCCGACGAATTTAATCTTGAGGAGGCGCTTCAGCTTGTTGGTCTCGATGAGGCTCAACCAGAGGTTTGTGAGATACCTTCGTATCTTCTACTTGTAAAAGCAACTACAATTCGAGCCTTCATAAAAAATCAATGATATTAAGAAAATTTGTCTGTTTTTTGAGTTTCGAGTAGGTCGCTTTCTAACATTGATCATGAAATGTTATTCACTTTTATTTCTAATATTTTTCATAAAATTAATATTTTTGTAATTAATTAAAATTTTTTACTGTTCATATTCGCGCAAGATCAGTAAAAATTATTTCAGCTTTGATTTTGATGATGATACTTAAAACTCTTTCGCTTCCTATTTATGTTTAAGATATTTTATAATAATAATATATAATAATAAAATAATAGATCGAAAAGCCTTTAATATATAAATACAAATCACGGTAAAAAGGAATGTCAACTAACTGAAGCATGAGGTAATAAAATTATGTTTATTTTCTGTATATTTATTTTAAACATTTCGGTTAGATTTGTAAATTTTTTTAAAGCCTTAACATATTAAGGAAAGAGGAAAAGCGAGAGCAAACCTCCTGACCTCCGCAATAAATAAATAATATTAAAAAGTCAATATTATTTGTTTATTGCGAAGATCAGGCCGTTCACTCTTGTACAGAGAAATTTAAAAATAATTTTATTACACCTAATATCTTGGCTTTTATCAGCCCTTTTATATAACGTGTTTTATATTTCTTGTATAATAATATATATGATATAATGATTGATAATATTAATATATAATTTTCTGTTGGCACAAATCCTTTTTTAATTGAATCTCTTGTCGACAAAAATTATTATATATAATACGTTGATACATATTTTTATCTTGCGCGATATCAATATCGTGGTGTTCTTGGCGATAACTACGTAAAGATTGATTATTAGGAAACAAAACCAGAAGTGAAGAAGAAGAAGAAAGAGGATACTACCGAAAACTCCGCAAGTGCAGAGGACGATTCGGCTATCTCAACCTCGAGTAACGTCGAGGTCGCGAAGTCATCCAAGTGCGAGGATCCCGAGACCGGCGACATGATTCACACACCGCAGTTTCATCATCCCCATCATCACCGCTCCTTCCAGGTACGTACGACCCTGATTTCATTACCTGTAGGTTAGAACGTGTACCAGTGTCTCTTATAACTGCATACACAATGTCATCATGGTTGCGACAATATAATGACTTATGTACAAAGTACACATAGGCTTGCTATTAAACATATGCAATGCGAGTAAATCAATGAAAGATTATCTCGTCTAATGAGCTCTCTAAATGCGCTTTCTGAATGAATATCGGGAATGTTGAATTATCTTATTCTTAATAATATTCTCCAATCATTTAATATATTACTTAAAATATTCTTCATACACTATTATGTAACTAACGTTCTCAGAGTTTTAATTTTATCTCAAATTGTTTTGCAACGTACACAACATTTATATTTATTCATGATGGCGATTTTCCGAAAAATTGCCCAGGTTGCAAGATAACATGTTCAGCTAAATTAACTTTTATATCATCTTATAAACGTTGTTCGCGATACATGCGTTTCGAGAAACGATGAAAGTCGCGATGTAGTCGCCGAGAGTGGCTACGGGATTTTTCGACATTCCGTTAATGAGGGGTTCGGAATGGCGTGATGATACCGCGAGAGGCGGCGATGATATACGAAGTAGGAAACAAACGTCGAGAAGATAAGACGCGCAAAGCCGCGCAGTTGGAGCAGCGTTTACGGTCCATAAACGGGGACACTCTTTACAGCGTCGACCACAAAAACTCCGGTGCGGCTCCATTCCTGTGGTTTTGCACCCCCTTTCGGGGCCAGATAATTACACATCATAAATTAATGTACATTTTAATATAACGAGATGAGGGACGTATCAAAAATGGATCTTTTCCGCAATTTATTTTATCGAACAATGTTTTCGTATATACTTTAAATTTTCTCTCACGATTATTAGTAATATATTACATAATTACGGTGATGTTATTAAAAAATAAAGACATATATGTATATAAACAAAATCTTGTGTTTCAAGACAAACATTTAAAATTGTTATCATAAAGATTATTTAAAGATGACTTAGTAGCTAAAAAGGAAAATATATATTATCCTATTCACATTTATATTATAAATCTACGTATTTAGTGTCTTCTCAATTTAATATCGCAATTTAATTATGTTATACATTTAAATTCATTGCTTAATTAATGATTATAAAGGATACAACGGAAAGCGAAACATCTTGTATGCATTTTTATTTTTCAAAATTTTTATTTGACTGCATTAAATCTGCATTCCAACCCTTATATGGGTTTATTATCTTGCAGTCTAAACATGGCAATCACAGAAGATTATAATTAATCGTTGTTTTAGAAAAATATTACCAGCATCTTATTTGTTTTTTGACGGCATTTGTCGCAAATTTGTGTAATATATTTTACAGTTCGCAAAAGGTCAATTCCTGATTGTAATTATCATTTTTAATGTTTGCTTTATACTTTTACACAGTCTGATTGCTGTGATATAACGTCATTTTTCTAAGAGAGTTCATCGATGGTTTACTATCAATGACATTTTGCTCAACAGAATTATAACAAACAATTATAATTTAATTATTAGAAATTTGTCATTTAACAATAGTTAGCAACAACAATTAATTTTAATAGATATACATATATTTTGAATACAATTTGTCTCTTTCTCAAAAAACAAAATTAAAGTTCATATTTTTTAATTTTCTTTTCAATCTCTCATATAGTTTATGCGTTGCTACTTAGATCTATTATCATTTGCAGCATACTTTATTTATGAGACATATTATTCAGCGTGTTCAATATTAAGATTATTTCTTGCTCATTATCACTTTATAGCGTTATAGAATTTTATTGCAGTCGCGAGAAACAAGTTCTACTACTCGAATAGATCGTGCTTATTAGAAAGCCATGCGCGTGAACTCGGTGCTTCTTAAGTCGCTTGTTTTGTTTGGCATTTTATAAAGTATAAATCATGTTTTATCACACAATATCTTGGCAATACTGCGAGTATAATGCTCGAATGGCACCTTTTAGTTTTACAGCCGCAATAGATATTAAACGCGATGTTGTACTTCCTAAGTAACGAGAATATTATTTTTGTACACGTATATTTGCTTATGTGTAAAAATATTTAAAATAATTAAAGGAATATGTTAATATACATAAATTTTATATACGAGAGATATATAAAATTAAAAAAAGTTTAAAGAGAGAAAGAGAGAGAAAGAGAGAAAGTTTCACTATAAATTTATATAATAAAAAATAGAAATAATCATACATGAAAGTATGCTATTCGTTTTTCTATGCACATTACAAATGCATTATTACAAATACTTTAACTTTATAGTTACGATTGATAATTATCAATACAATAATATTATTATTTTTGTATATACAAAAACGCATATATTATAGAAATACGTAATTATTGTAGAAACACGTAATTATTGCATCAGACGTGACAGATCAATTACACGGCAATCTAGAGATATCATTGCTAATACAAACATTACATAGAGAGCTGTATATTACGTGATGTGGTAATCATCTTGCTGCCAAGAGTTCAGAAATTTTAAATAGTGCAGCAAAAACAAAAACTAGTTTATCTTTGCTCCTGCTTCTAAAATCATTTGCACCAGGAAAGATACAAATACATTAATATGCATAAATCCATGATTTGATATATCTATATGTAATAATACACATATACATATATACAAATTTAATACCACCCATAAAAGTGAACTAATTAAATATTTGAAAATTAACTAACTGCTCCGGACCTAGAAAATATATTCAGTAGATGCATTAACGAGTTACCGAAGCACGTAAAATGCAATTTTTCAAGACAAAGTCGTGAATTCGAAAACCTGCCGGAAACTTCGTAGAAAGTAGGCACATTTCCCGGATTTTGGTGCTGCTACCGGGGCATATAATACAATGCGTTCCGTCGAGAAACTATATCGTTATAAAAAAGAATGATCGTGACAATGACCTACCCAGATAGTCCGTGATGAGTCCAGCGAGAAAACGTGACGCAACGCGTACGTGTGCAGGACTTCTTTGCGTGCACGTGGAGGAACACATCTGAAAAGTCCCGCCAATGGGAGAGATAGCATTAGCCCCTACTACCATGAATCGTAGTGGTGGACGCGATCGCAATGTTTGTGATCCTGGCCGACGGCGCTGACACTCGACGGACGACACGCGGTTAGAAGTGAACGCGAACTTCGCGGAAAAGTTTAACTCACTCGAGAAGAAGCGATCTCACCGGTTAATAATTCGTTTCGTAGATAGTTCCAAAAGGTTCCTCGAACTGAACGGGATTCTACCGATATTGTGATGTTGGAATGGTTCTTCCAAGTTAAGAAGAAGTAGATTCTGAAGTACACGCTAGGATACCAAGTTTCTCACCCACGTATTACCGGAAGAACACTCGTATTATCAATGAAAAACTGGTTGCAAAATGAAAACGTTGAACTATCGTAATCAGTTTATTCCTGCCTACCTTGTTTGATGAGACCAGTGACTATTCTACAAAGTTTGTAATTTACATAAAGTTTCGTACGCCTACAGTTCAAAAGTTCGAAAATCTCAGCGTTATACGTGAATACTAATCTGATGCAAATACATGGAGTTTAAGATTAAACTACATGGAAGTGATAAAGTTGGTACAATGACAATCTCTGTAAAACGCACCACTTATAGGTTCGAAACGATTTGAACGAGGCCAAGAAACCCTTCTTCTCACGGTCATTCCATGAGACCGCCCACGTTGAATACACAAATCTTTGCTTTATGCATTTCAAGATGATATGTTGTACATCACAGAATCGCTAGTGGAATGAGATTTTTGCCTGAATGCAAAAGTATCCTATAATAACACAATAGTGTGCGTTAGTAAAAATCATAACTGATTAAAATTAATCAGTTTTGCGACGATTAGATGTGCAATTTTTACCGGCAGGTGAAAGTTCATTGTAGAAAAAAAATTTGTTATTCGGTTGATTTAACAATACGAAGGCCGGTGCGATCCTCGTGCCTAATTCGTATTTCGAGTGAAGAGGATACACATGAATGACGTGCAGCAAGTCTTCGTTAAACCTCATCCGCAAACCAACGAACACACATACCAAGGGAATACAGAATGTTGGAGTCTGATATTGGACGAAGGTCTTTTTCAGGTAGATTACACCAATTGCGCAATACTTATCACGATAACCAAATAAAAATGCATAATGCGATAACAGATATGATATGTACATTCACGCGTAAAGTTAGTTAGAAGAAGGAGGGAAAGATTAGCGCAAGGTCTTGCGAACAAGGTTTGATTGAAAAAAAATATATATATAAAAACATCGGTTAATAATTGAAAATACTTAGTTAATATGACAGACTGTTCGCTGCCATTAATTCTAGAATCATAATGCATGTTTTTTGCTGCAATATAAAGTTATATATAGCTTTTATATATCTAAAGAAACTCTATTAAATGGTGAAAAAATAGTATCGAAGAAATATAAAACGCATAAATTTAAGCATAGAATTTATTGCGATAATAAAACAAAGGTATATTTTATAGGGAAATTTCAATTTCAAAAAACCTATTATATATAATAGCTATATGTTTGCAAATACTCATATCTGTGGTCAATATTTAAAGGATCAATATTGCTGTTTAAAATGATGCATGTTTCTTCACTGATGAATCTCAACTATTTCTAATGCTAATGGCTTCACAGCGGAAAGACATTAAAAAAGTGATTCGACATCTCGCTGAAATTCGCTTTCGTAGTAATTCTTACGCATACACATAAAGACATATATATATATATATATGGTCTCGTGCGACCTTGCGTCTCGCGTACGCGTGTAGAACTGTCATTAAAACGCAACCGCCGCCGGAGGAGTAATACATACTCGGCGCGGGTCTCTTTCAATACGTAATGAGTACACTAAATTAATATATTCCTACGCCCGGGACCTTTGCCTACGGAGAAGGATGTGTCGTGCGTATTATGTGGAAGGCTTACGCAAGAAAACC